TTTGATTCCATAAAAATTTATTTCCTCTATTTATATAATTTTTATTATCTTACATAGTGTCTTTTCAGCTCTTTTAACAATAATTTGATCTTTCTTTTGTAACAATTCTTTTTGTTACTTCCATAAATAAAATTAATTTTCTAATCGAATGATGCAAATTTATTAATAATTGTTAAGTCAATAGGCCATTTTAATAAAATCACAGATATTCGGTTAATATTTTATATTAAAACGAGCCTAATTAATCAATTAATGGCTAAAAAAATTATTAAAATTGAGTGAATTCAAATATTTAATAATAATAATATCTATATTTTGTACATAGCAGAAACATCTATTTATATTTCTAAGGATTATCTCTTTGAATAATAAAAACAAATTGATTTAGAGAATTAAGTTTCTTATTCAATTTAAATATTCACTCTTTTTTTTGATAGCATGATTGATATTTTTAAATAACAGATTGATAAGAATGAAAAACAATTACAAAAACAAACTAAATCCGAAACATCAATCCACATTAACCTGTCATATAATGAGAAATTAGTTATAACCATCAATCTCTCACAAATAAGATAAAAATTAATTAACTTTTCAAGACTCTACACAAAACCAAATTAATAAAAAAACTAATCAACATACCTAATAAAACATATATTATTTTTTTATTTCATTTAATTTTTAATTTATATTTCTCTTCTTTTCAATTATCATATTTCTTTGTTAACTTTTGAAATTATTTAGTAAATTTCAATAAAAAAAATATCGATCAAAAAATTAAATTTTTTATTATTAAATTAACTTTAAAAATGAAGAAAGTAGTCCATTTGGTTGGATAATATTTATTGATATAAAACTTTAAAAATTTCACAATTCATATAATAATATTAAAAAATTGATAATAAATTTTGAAAATCAGATGTTAATCTTATTGATCCATGTAATCAATATCTATGCTTAAGTAATATCAAAGCTTCAATTTTAATTATACACAAAAGAAGGTGAACTTTATTGAAACTAATTGTAGAGATTTCTACCATCTTCTTAATTAATATGTAAAATTGATCATTAAGTTTCGAATTTATAATTAATAAATTAATGTGAAGAAATATCTATAATAAAAGGGGATTGTAAAATATTAAAAATATAATTATAGAATTTATTTCAATGTCTTTAAATAATATACACATTTTTGTACCTTGTCAAAAGTAAATACAGTAACAATTTATGAGTGGAAGAATTAAAAGATTTAGTAAGTTGGTTAAAATATGACAATTAATTCATCATTTAATTGTTTTAACATCAATTTGTCTTAAATTTTTCAATTTTGATAGATTGTTATTAAAACAATGAACTCTTTTTAATTCAAATAAAGGATGAATAATAAAAAATTGCTTATTTTATATCGTCGTCCATACCTGCATCAACTAAAATTTAATCAATTCTTAATGGACCAAATCCTTTTTTAGTTTATGCCTAATATGTTGAGAAATATTCTATTTTTTCACTATTATCATCCTCTTTTTAAAATTAAAGTAGTTTAAATCAATACTAATTTATTGATTTTGATATTCCAATTACAATAACTCCGAATATTTATGCAATAACTCATAAACAGATATTCTAATTATCTATATCTTCAGATTCTACATTTAGTTATAAATATAATTTTAACTCTACAAGTATGAGTAATTTTACTATTATTAATGCTTTTTACAATTTTTGGAGTTATTCCTAATGTGATTGATATATCGAATAGTATTCTAATCTATAAGATTATAAAATAGCTAATTATTGGGATGCAAAGGGTAAATATTAAGGTAATTGATTTTTGCCCAGTTAACTCTTGTCAATCTATTTAGAAGATACTTTAAAATACTAATTTATAATATATATATCTACTAATTTAAGGGTTATTATGTAAAAGTCTGAAGGAAATAGTTATTATTTTTATGATCTTAATTAAAGCAATTCATTATTCTATTTCAATGACGATAATGAGTTATTTTAATTTAATTAGGAGATTTTAGTTTTTTAAATTTATTGCCGTCAATATAAATAAACTTGACTAAGCCAAGAACTTCATATCAGTAATAATACAATTTTACTTTAATATGTATGGATTAACTTAGGCCTGCACAATTAAATCTAGTTAAAATTGATTTTAAAATACTATTGAAGATTGACACGAATTTTTATGTATACATTAAAAATAATTTTTTCTATAATGTCTAATTAGGGGTTCGAAAATGCTTTATTTTAATATAATTATTCAATAAAAAAAGTAAAAAATTAAAATATTGACATTTAATTTTACAAATCCCTAAACCATAGAATAATAATCAATAAATAAATTCTTCAAAAAGATTCAGTTCAATCCTATTCAAATAGTTGTTAATTCATAATTATAATCATCCTTAATATATATCAATAATATTGATTGAAGTCATTATAATTTCAATTGATTAAAATAGCTCTCCAATACCAATTTCATTAATTCAAGTTAATTTCAAAATCAAATAGATAAATTTAATAAATTATTCATTAATTTTATCATATCTGTGTAATAATGATTAAAATATGTGCTTTTAAGTTTGGAATGTGTAAAATTTACCAAAATATAATTATATAAAGAATCTTTATAGTGAAAATATTGATAAAAAAGTAATAATATAATCTGATAATTTGTTCTTATATGTTACTTTTAGCAATTACACTGTTTATGTCTATAATCCTTCCTTACCATATCATCTGAGCTTATATTATAAGTTAGAATTAACTTCACCGATTCAATTTAGTGTTTAATTGTCATTAAACAATCCAAATTCAATAATATTTTCTAATAACAATTTCTACATTCTTTTTGAAAGTTAATAATTTAATCTCATTATTAATATTCAAATTAAGACTTTAACAATTCAAAAAGTTATCCCTTATATACTTATAATTATACCGTAAAATCAGCATTGAATAACACAGCCTCTTATAAATAATTTATTAATTTAAGTTTATATGGAACAATCTAGTACTGTGTTTTAGAATGAAAGTAATTAATCAATTAATTTAATCAATAACACTATA